CACACACACACACACACACACACACACACACACACACACACACACACCCCATTTTTGACAGGAATAATATAAGGCCAACAATAAGATTTCCAAATCTCTGGAAAAACAGTCTCTTTGGATAATTTTCCATAATAGGAGTAATGACATTGGTATTTAGTCCCTTCAGTGTATGTGTGTGTGTATGTGTATGTATATGTGTATGTATATGTATATGTGTATGTATATGTGTGTATGTGTGTCTGCCATCATCAGGCTTCTGTATTGTGATGATGCCTGATGATGGCAAATGAGATTCTGCGGAAACGTGTGTATATATATATATATATATATTAACAGAGTTGGAAGGGACCTTGGAGGTCATCTAGTGCAAATGATATTGTCTAAATATAAGAAGTTTAAGGTCACACACCCAGTCATTCTTAAAATCTGGGCTCCAAGCAGAGCTGAAACAAAATCTGTTATCGGTAGTTGGATTTGATTAGTGAGATCAAAGATCAATTGTGACACAGATCTTCTTAAAAACTTCCAGTATTGGAGAATTCGCAACTTCTGAAGGCAAGTTGTTCCATTAGTTAATTGTTCTAACTGTCAGGAAATTACTTCTTAGTTCCAGATTGCTTCTCTCCTTGATTAGTTTCCATCTTGCTTCTTGTCCTGCCCTCAGGGGCTTTGGAGAATAGCTTGGCTCACTCTTCTTTGTGGCAATCCCTGAAATATCAGAACACTGCTATCATGTCACCTCTAGTCCCTCTTTTTATCGGACCAGACATACCCAATTCCAGCAATCATTCTTGATATGTTGTAGCCTACAGTCACCTCATCATTTTTGTTGCTCTTCTCTGCACTCTATCTAGAGTCTCAACATCTTCATCAGTTTTCTTTCTCTTGTTCCTGACATGTCATTCTCATCGGTATTTTGTAGCCCAGAGCTTATGGCTGTAACTCATTCTGTTAACTGACAAACTACACAACTGCCATCATTTACATGACACATACTAGCCAAACCCTAAAAAATACCACAAAATCAGTAGCCAAACCAGCCAAACTCTAAAAAATATCCAGCAGAGTCACTATCTGGATTTACCACGAGTGACTCTGCAAGTCATGTTAGTTCCAAGAATGGCTTCTAGATTCATACTACATTTGTGTAGTACATACTACATTTGTGTAGAACAAAATGTGTCCTATTTGCGCAGGCTCCTTGAAACTTACCTAACTGCAACAGTACCAGATATGGGTGATTGCAAGCCAACTCTTTCATCTCCTAGAGGAGAAATAAAAGATCATAGGGCACCTTATTATCAGTTACAACTCACAATTATGTACAAGAAGCAGATAATAATTTGAGCAGGATATTAAAGACGTCGATATTTAAAAAAACAAGGTATACACTTTCTTCTTTACTAAATGGCAGCTATAGAATTTTACTAGCTGAACAAAACAAAACCTTAAGGAATTAAAACTTGTAATTATACATACCAGGAGCAAGTAACAAGCTGAGCAAGATTCTAAAAAGAATAATATTAAAAAGTGGACCAACCAGGAAAAGTACGAAGGGTCTTTTTCATTAAATGGCAGCTGTGCAATATTACAGCTCCAATAAAACAAATGGAAACAAACCACTTTGAAGCTTAACATAATGTGTGAATCCATAGTGTCCCCAAGAAACAGTCCACATCTCAGTGCTACCTCTGATTTTCTTAATTGGAGAAACCATATCCTGTGCTGCAGAGGACAATCTGGCCAGCTTGCTCATCTCTGCCATCACTACAGGATAAGATAATTAATTGTGATGTAAATTTTTTGGGTAATTTGCTACTCAGTTTTCAAGGTCACACTTTCTTCTGTCTTCCATCTGGAAGCTTGGTTAGTGTAGATGGTACCTTCAGTTCTTTTCTCCCCAACAACAACCTTTGGGAACAAGCAGGTGTGGGGATAAACAGGAGGCCCCTAATCACCTGTGAGCACCCTGGCCAACTGAGGACTTGCATGGAGGTCATTCCAACCTCCATTCAACACAATAACTACTGTACCTGCTAGATTAGGTGATTCTCACCTTCGTTTCGTTTCCTTCCAGATCGAGGGTTGTAACAAAGACCCACTTGGGTGGATAGGGCAGCTCCAGAAACCTCTTCACCAAACCCAGACGGATCCCCCGATTGGATCCTGTCACCAGAACGCTGAAAACGCAGAAATTCAGTGATGTTGCCATCTCTCCGGGAGCTGCAGCTTCTGCTTCCAATTTGCTTGGAACACTTCCTTCAAATATCTCTTCCTTTCATTAGAAGGACTATAATAAGGAATACGGCACACTCCCTTCTAAAACTGTTGAAAAATCTTAATAGCCTGTCTTTCCACAACAAAAGTACTCCATACAGTGGCTCCCCATAAGGAGACCACAAGACAAAAGTCTTTGACAGGTTTTAAAAGCTCTGGAAGTCAGGGAAAAATCATTTCACCTAAACTGTAGTTCGGTGCCCTCAAAAGAACTTTGGGTTTGCTTATTTCCTTTCTTGAAACATCCAGCCTAGAAGGGCCCTTAAAACAACGACCAGATGTAAAGTTCAAATGAAAGAAGTTCCTTTTTCCTACCTGGAAGGAGTGGCAAATAATTACTCTCCTGTTCATTTCAGGTACAGGTATATTCGTGGCTTTGCCAAGATTGTAACATGCACAATGATGGAGGAATACTGAAACACCCACAATAGAGGAAAGGAATGTAAAAATAGCAACTCTGGCAGAAATGGAAAAACTCACCTGTCTGGATAAGTACAAAACAATATATAATTTTATAAAACATTGGAAACCTTGTGGACATTTTTGATGGAAATGGCAAAAAATGAAATAATAATGAATTCTGGATTTGATGACTAAAAAAAGAATGGAATAAGGGATTTTGTAATATTGAAGAGGTAAGAAGGACAATGAGTTGGTTTATAATTGTTGAAAAGATGGTTGGAAGTTGCTTATTTTTTTCTGATTCTTGTTTTTTTAATTATCTTTCTTTTCTCTTTTACTTTGCTTTTCTCTCTTCTTTTGCATATGTGTATGTGTGTGTTGATTGCATATATGTGTTTATAGGGATATGTTTAAGGTATATGTTGTGAAAAAAGTATTGGCAACTAATAGATTATGGTACAGGTTTGATGTAAGGTTTAATTCTTCATCTTCTCACATTAAACATTAAATATTAATTTTAAAAAATCCTTCCGAAAGAAAGAGAAAACAAAACCAAGATTTTCATGCCATTCAATTATTTATTTATTTATTTATTTATTTCTCCTCACTTTATTATATGTCCATGATGTTAAGGTGGGACTGATGGATCACCAGGGAAGTCGCTGACCCAAATAATCCAGAAAGGTCC